AGACTTACATATAAATTTTGTTGTGTTTATTTATAAACATGTTTGTTAATTATATTGATTGATATACTACAGTGTACATCAGAAAGGGAAGAATGCATAAAAGAGTTAGTTAGAAATAGAGATCAACATGCATCATGTAGCGTTTTGCAAGTACTGATATTATTTACTCATTTGAGTAGCTAGATTTTGTACGCTTTGACCACTAACGGCCTTCTAAAGTAGCTTTCCAGCGATGCGCACTAACAAAAATAAAAAAGATTAAGAAATTAAGAAATTGGTTTATAGAAAGAAAAGAAAAAATTTAAAAATCAGTTTAATAGTAATTTTGGCGATTTTTGCTCATCATCAGGTACTTGATAAGGTTACTTAACCGTTAAAAAGAGAAATTACAGTTACAACAGCTACAAGAGATGCGGTAAGTGGTAAGCATACTATTTGCTTAATTAGGTAAAGAAAACTGTTTATGGTGAATATACTTTTTCGCACATCGATAAATGAAAAAATTCTTAAGGAGACGAAGTAGATGATATAAGTAAAAAGTGTCTATGCATATGCTATGAATGTTGTGTTGGTTATGTATAGAATTAATTATTTTTATTTATTTTTTAAATGAATCTACAGACGTAAATATAAAAAATAATAAATTTCAACACTTTCTAGGCCTAATTGGCTGAACACACTCCTTGTACTGTTATGTACTTTATATTACTAATAATTTATGTTAAAGCAACTGTAATTACTTGTTTTAGCAATTAGTTAACCTTATCGGGCACCTGATTAGGTTATTTAATAAAAGCTTATAGCTTCCGACAATATTTACTTTTTTGCTTTTATTTGCTTAGCTACTTAGGAAAAACTCGATAATAATCTAAAATCCTTAAGTAAGATAAAGTAGAGAGCAATATTGTTATTACAAAATCTAGCTACACATTGGTTAATTTCAAATAATAAATTAGTTAAATAAAAGGTCTACAAATTGGTTAATTTCATACGATGCATTATTTACAAAATTGTTTGATTTACTAGTAATAAAATTGAAATACAACAGCAATATATTATACAATAAAACCACTGGTTTGAGTTTTCATAGAATGTATTACTCAAATTGACATATTTCGCTAAACTTCCTAACAAGACGAAGTAATTTTAAGATAAAGAATTATTCGCTAATATCTGCATTTTAAATAGGGATTTTGACTTTAAAAATATATGATCGAACGAGAAATGCAGACCTTTCAAAATTTGTTTTTGAGTTAAAAATCAAGTCAGTATTATAAAATCAGTTAATTCTTAAAATTTCCAGTAACTCCAATGTAGTAATGTATGTAAATTTTAGAAATTGTGGTTAAATTATGTAGTTAAATTATTAGTATTTGTGCAATTGTTTTCTAGAATTGATTTTTTTCCGTTAACGAAACAAACTTATGTTCAGCTATCAGTTTTTAAAAACATATACCTGTTTGACCTATGTATACTTTTGAATTTATCAAAAGTGATAATAAATATATATTTCTCAACTTTGGCTTCTATGTTTACCATATTTATTATTTTTTTGTTTACCAAAAATTATTGGCCTTTTGAGCTGAGCTAATTCCTTTTTTCTTCAAAAACTTTATCGGTTGGTGGTATAAATGTTACAGGACCATGTATATGGAACTATTAGTTTGTTTAGATAATTTTAATTTAGTACGTTGTTAATTAATTTTAGTTCATATCTAAACCTGTTTAAACATTAACGAATTGCAATAGCTTTGTAAAACTTCTTAGAATTGAAAGAATTTAAACTTTTTCCTTAGATTTGGAGAGGAGTCCTTTTTCCTTTTTTGTCATAACGTTCTCTTGATATGTTTTGTTCCATTTTATTTGAAAGCCAAACATTTTTTAAAACATTTTTAAAGACCACTTAACTCTTTAAAAAAAGTGGTCTTTATACAGTCCCAAAGTTACTTGTAGAAGATATATTCAATTTTGTTGTCTCAAATTGAACCCATATACTTATTGCATACAAGCACTGTCATCTTACAACATCCTGAATTAAGAATTTTTCTGATTGATTACAAAATGGAGGGGTTGGTGGTCCAAGAATGGCCTTGGAGTCAACGCCAACGCGGAGATCTCCACATCGATGGGCAGACATTACGAAAAAGCTTCTTAATCAGTACTCTTTACAGTAAACAAATACTCTTTACAGTATATACTACTTTAAAGTACATGTCGTAACAGATGACCGGGACAAGTGAGACAAGTAGGACAAGTAAAGCAATATCAATAATCAGATTATTCGAGCTGCTGAAGCTCAATGATGAACCACAACACATGTACCAAAACGTTAATTACTATGATAATGATGAAAGATATATACAGATAAAGACCCATCAATGACCAAATTAATTAAAAAATTAGAGAAGCAAATAAACAAAGACTCAGACACAATAAACTAATAAAAAAAATAAAAAAATACTAAGGAAAATAATTGTACATCAAACAAATAAAATTAACATGGAATATGATTTATTGATGGACCTCCTGAAAGATAGTCCTGAAAGATAGTCCTGAAAGAAAGACGGATAGGAAGAAGCTCTGTAAAATAATGCAATTGACGGTAAGGAACTGCGTATGATCAGAAATTTATACTGAAATCAATCATTTTCTGTTAAAGTCAACAATGAGAAAACAGAGAAAGAAAAAAATTCTGCGAGGTGTTTGACAGGGAGGAATACTGTTGCCTTTCATATTTAACTTGTACCTACTCAGAGACAACTTTTTAAGAAGCGCTAGAATATACGGAAGCAGGAATACTATTAAATTAAAACAAGTTGTTTACTTGTTCGCCAACAAGATATGTCGATAACACCGTCATTTTTGCCGAAACTGCTTAAGGATTAGATCTTTTAATGAACAAAGTAGCTGATATTTTAAAGAGGGTTTGCAGAAAAAATATAAAGTAAATTTAGATTATATACAAAAAACAAACAAAACAAGCAGGTAGCAACTTGGTTGCTACCTACAGGTCTTCATAGAGACTTAGTATCAAGACCAGCAACTCCAGTTTGGGGGTCTTACTTTGCCATGAAGTAAATTCCGTTTAAAACTTTCACCAAAGCACCAATGTAATTTAAAACTAATTTAAAAACATTTAAAGGAATTTTACCTGTATATTTAGTAGGTTCATTCATGTATACATAGTAAAAGGATGGAATACACATCTGATGATAAAATATTAATTGCGAAAACGTTTTGTGATGTAGCCCGAAAGGGTCCTTTTATATTTATATATTGTAAGGTTATAAACGTCACATCTTTAATAATTAACATTTAAATAATTATTTCATTTTAATTTCCTTATTAATTTCTTTATTTCCAGATTTGTTTTTACTATTTTTTACTACAAAAGTAGTTGGCGCCCTCTGTCTTTCATTTCTCTCTCTTTCTATCCCGTAGAATAAATATTCGCCCTCTCTCTTTCTGTCTGATCGACTAAATATTCTGTTCTATGTTGACAGAAAAGCTAATCTCATCATATAGGAACATCCTATGACATCTGCGCTAACTTCATGCAGTCCCTTCCTACTTTCTGTCAATCACCTTTAATGGTGGGATTATTTTTTGTTTATAATTGAAATTTATAAAAGAAGGTAGGAAGCTTCATGAAATGAGCTTCATTTTATGATCTACAACATTCTCTTGGGGGGTGAGTACTTTCATTGTAATCTTTATTCTATAATTCTGACAGCATTTTCAATATTTGTAACCTCATTTCTGTCGAAAGCACGTTTTTCGATTATATGCATGTAGAGATCTGAACAGAATTTAACTAAGTAATAATAATTATATTTCATTTTATCCTTGCTATCTGCTATTTGTTTAATTGTAATTTTGTAAAATGGCAAGGAAATTAAATACTTTTGATGTGTCTCTAATACAAGTTGTTGTTGTATTTTAGTTTATTGACCATATTTAAGAATTTATTAACCATATTCACGGTTTATTCTCTGTATAAATTGGCCATATTATGAAAATTTATTGACTATTAGAGGATCTAACCACTTAATTAGGAGGCCACACACACATGGTATAACTGCAGCTCTTTGGAGGACCTAACGTCTAATTAGGGGACCACACCAGCAGCCCAATGATGCCATCAATGCCATAAGCATCATCCTCACTATATTCATTGTTAAGCATTCGCAGGGTTGATTGTTTTTTTTAATTATTTTTTTAATAAATATGATTACTTAAAAATTGTTTTATTTGCTATCAGCTAAGGATTCATTATTTGATTCCTAGTTTAAGACAAGACGAACTCACACTTGAGATACTGAGCTAGGCAAAGCATAGACGATAAGCTCCCATGGTTGATTGAGGTATTATTTTTATAATAGTACTTCAATTCTCTTTGGTAGTCTTATCGCTACAATACCTTTTATAAAGGATTATTTAAATAAAATTTTTATTATTAAGTACGTTAGTAAAAAGATGTAAATTTATTTGTTTAAATACTACTTAAAAATGTATTGTATATCTATTTATTGGAGTTCAAAAAAAAAAAAAATTAAAAATGGGACCTTATTATCAGGTAAGCTAAATTATTTTTGACTAAATTTTTGACTTAAAAGCTTGTTGAGTATACATTTCGGTTTATAAAATTGAATCATACTAAGATTTATACACTTTTTGATAAAATAATATCTCTCTTTTTGTAGTAAAACTTCGTTTAATTGCAATATACTTTAATTTTTATATAAAAATATGTCATAAATTATATCAGTACATTGCAAAACATTTCCAAACCTAGCAAAAACCAGTCGGTCCGAGACAATAAATCAAAGTCCCCCACTCCATTAAAACAAACCAAAATTTCATTCTTTGATTAATGAAATAACTCCATTTTCAAAATCTCATGCTATTAGCTGTTTCATAACCATAAACATATTTTTAGGTTTTAATATTGACGTTTGACCAAAACAGGAAACCGCAGCCATTTTAGAGCCCTCTGTTACCTTTTCTCTGTATTGTCTCCTCGACGAGTCCAAGCTCTGGATCAAGTTGGTGGCGTGGCCTAAAAATAGTGCGTAACACGTCGCTCCAGAGATCATAGAGAGCATCGTTAGCCACATGTCGGTGAGCGATTGGGGCGGAAACCTACCGTAACCGATGCAAAGCATGTGGGACATTGCTTTGAATAGGGCCCAGGAGTATTGCTCTAACCAGGACACTTCCTATAAAATTAAAGAGAAATAATAGTAGAAGCAGTGACTGTTATACTTATAGATAAACTTAAATATTGTTAATACACTTAAAATTACAGTAAATATCCAATAACCAGTAATATTTTGACGAAAACCTGTATAACCAGCAGAGGCACTAACAGTACTAGAACAAAAACAATAAAATTATTCTGACCACGACCACGACCACATTGACCCATCTTATTCTATTCACAGCAGCTCGAAATAGATTAGTTGACGTTAGACCAACAGGTGGGCACGGAGAATTCTAAAATAGAGACCAAGGACGACAACAAGAAGGATGGGAAGACCTAAAAAAAGATGCCATAAGAGCAATAATAGGCAAACAGTGGATTAGATTGGAGCAAGATAGAGAAAGATAGAAGCAATTGGGAGATACCTACATTCAGGAGTGGATGGAAAACGGTTGACAAAGGGAGAACAGTCCACTTCCTAAGATTGATTGCCCAGCCAGAATATACGTCTACGTCCAAGGCCTCTCTTACCCTCAATCTTACCTTGTAGAATCAACTGTAAAAGTCGATATTTATTATTACGCATAATGCAGTCAATTTTCTGTTCTTTACGGTGTTAATAATTTCTTTGTCCATTATCTTTTGTTATGTTGACCTTTTAGGAATAAATTCGCATTCTAATATTATTTGTTCAGCTTCTTTTATTTTCTATTTGGACATTTTATGATCAGTCTCACTTAGCAGTATTCCTTCGTTTAATTTCACATATGTCATCTTGCTCTGATAATCTTTTTTTTAATCCTTATTTTCATAATTTTTTTTGAAAATTTTCTTCGATGTTTTAGATTTTTCTTTAATTGTATTGTCTTGTTTTTGTAGTTCTGTTCATTGGCTTCAATATGATTGTATAACATTGACCGTCTTGCTTAGGATTTTTGCTCTCACTAAATCTCTACATTCTTTAATGAACCACTCGTTTAGCTTAACTCCTTTAGTTTTGTTCTTATATCACAGCACTTCTTTGTTTGCTTTTCCACTGTGTAGTTCATCATCTCCCAGTTTGTTTTTACTTCTGTATTTATGTCATCTTTTTGCAACTCCAGTGTTTTTTCTTGATGGCTGACCTCGTTTCGCTTCTTCTCTTCCTACGGCAAAATTCATTCTTAGCAAGATATGATCATATTGTCATATTGGTTAGAGCCACCTTCTGCCTCTCTTATGCTTCTGACTTCTGTAATTATCTGTTGATGTTTTTGTTCAATTAAGACCATAGTCTATCTGGTTTATACTGTCACCATCATAGGACGACCACGTTTCTTTGTAGATCTTCGTTCCTTTCAACTGCTTGATTTTTAGTATTAGCTGATTAGCTGTATTAAATACTCTCTCTCTCGACTGTTGACTCGCGTGGACAACAGACCTCTTTGACTTTGCTCTCGTAGATAGAAGGCGCTTTTTCGTTTTCTCTAACCGTGGTGATCATAGCTAAAAGACGATTCTTTCTCCTCTCTTAGCTATTTGTATCTGTAGACAACAAACGTACTTTAGTCTCCCTGATATTGGCTCCGAAGCAGACCAGACCGTTTGTTCTTCTCTCTTAGTGATAACTGCTATAGTGATATAGTTATTAAGCGATAAAATAGTTAGCGAGAGAACAAACCAATATTGGTATGACTTTTATGACTCTGCCTATTTTTCAATGTGCACCAGTAAGTTGTTGTTCCATGGTTTTGTGGTCTTCCTACTTATCGTCTTATTGGCGAACCGTCTCTTCCTGTCTTTGTCTATTTGTTGTCATTTGGCTTATATGATCGTTCTTCTACTCTTTTATTTCTTATCCAATTTTTGATGTTCTCCATCCGATCTGATCAATTTTTTTAAGCGTTTTCATCTCTGCTGTTTCTAACATCATTTTTGTACTCTCTGTGTCAGGTCGTATTTCTGCCGCGTATGTCATTATTGGTCTGATGACTGTAAATTCTGCCTTTCATTTCTTTCCCGATATATTTTTTTCTCCATATTGTTTCATTCACGCAGCCTGTGACTCTGTTTGCTCTATTCACTTAATCTTCCACTTTCTACCCATGTTTCTTTCTTAATGTGTTTGGTTTTTATTAGTTCGTTCTTCCCTTTTTGGTTGTTATACAACCAACAGCTGTTGATTAAGTTTAAATACAAGTTTAAATACCTTGAAGCGCTTCTTGTGATTGGTCCTGTGCGCAGAGTGGGCGGGGTCTTCTTCGCTATTTTAATTTCTACGTTTTTCTGCAGAATTGGTTTCCACGTATTTGGGAGTCTTTGAGCATCATCTCTGGTATTTAAATTTTTTGGATGTTTTTCGATCTCTATGGCTTCCCTGATTACGCGTTTGATCTTATTTTCGATGTTGGCTAGCATTGTTGTTCCATTTAAGTCTATATTGTGTCCTGTGTTAAGAGCATGTTGTGCTAGAGATGAAGTTTTCCCTTTTCTTTTGATGGCGTTTTGATGTTCTTCGCGTCTAACTTGTATCCTTCGATTTGTCTGTCCGATGTACGATTTATCGCAGTCCTCACACGGGATTCTGTATACACCTTGATTTTCCAATGCAACTTTTGTTTTTGCCGATGGTAATATGGTTGCGATTTTTTTTGTCGGTGTTAAAAATAGTTTCTATTTTGTTTTTACGTAGCACTCTGCTGATTTTGTCTGTCGTACCCATTATATAGGGCAGGATAGTTTTTCCGACTAGTTTTTGTTTCGGGATTTCTGTGCCTTTTCAATCGTATACATGAAGAAGCCATTTTTTCTTAGAGCTGTTTTGACTTTTTGCATTTCTTCGTTCTTATGTTCCTTATCTGCCAGTTTCTCAGATCTTGTTATTAGGGTTTTTATTACCGAATTTAATTGTGCAGGATGATGGTCTGAGTCTGCGTGTAAGTACCTGTCAGTATGGGTTGGTTTTCGGTATACTATGTGTCCTATGCTTCCGTCTTCTTTCTTAATAACTAACACATCCAGGAATGGAAGTTGTTGGTTATTCTCCCGTTCCATGGTAAACTGTGTACCATGGAACCATATATATATATATAATATATATATATATATATATTATATATATATATATATATATATATATATATATATATATATATATATATATATAGGCACTTTTGCTATTTTTGCATTACAATTTCCCAGTACTATCTTTATGTCATATTTTAATAAACTCTTCTGTTGAATGAGGGGGCTGGGGCATACACAATGACTGCCAGTGGAAAGAAGGTCAAAGACGGTCTTCCGTAGGAGGGCCTATATGAAATAGAATGACAGAATGACCCAGTGCAAGTTGGGTAAAACACGCAAGGAGTGATTTAAAGGACGTAGGCGACTTTGCCTGAAGAAGAGAAGCAGAATATAGAAGAAGATGAAGGAATATCGTTAAGAACATGAACAATATGATTTTTTGAATGAAAGTATTTTAAATGTAGCTTTTTGGCCTTAGTCAACAAGGTCTGTTGTGCTGTTAAAGAGATGACTGGGACATACAAAAAACTGCCAGTGGGAATAATGCCAAATACGGTCTTACATAGAGAGTACGTAGGAAGTCAAAAAAGGGGAATGAGCGGGGGAAAAGTGGATAGAAGAGGTTGAGAATAACTTAAAGGAAGTAGGTGACTTAGACTGGAGAAAAGAAGTAGGATACACAAAAAAATGGAAGAAAAAGGTCAAGAACTTTAGCGAAAAATAACATAAAGTATTTTAACTTTAGTCTGTTAAGAATTTACAGTGGATGTTTACTTACAGAATAGTAGCTGACTTAAATTATCCGAAAAATGTTTTATTTGTAATTTTTATATAAATGTGAAACAAAATTTACCTGTAATTCATTGATGGCCACCCACGAATTAGGGGGAAATCCTTGCAGCATGGGGACTAAAAATTGTAAACATCCCGACCAATGTCCGATTAGCAGCATCATACAAATTAAGTTGAATATCCTCATAAATACGCTGGCCATGTTCAAAAACTGTAAAAACAATATCCAATTAAAACAACCATTTTCGGCAGAAGTAACTCTTCTATTGATCTTAAGTTGGCAATGGAATGAACTTCAAAGAGGTAATTGTGTATTAGAAAAACGGCAAAATATAAAAAACGCATCATTTATTATTTAATCCATTGGCAAAAGTAAGATCTAAAGAGAATTCACTAGTGAAAATTATATTTCAACATTCTAATAAAAAACTGTTTGTAGGCTTTCACGATTAGTATAAAAAAATTCGTTTTCAGGACTCACAAACTTTATATGAAGTTAGATTTGTTACTTTGTTCGTTAGAATAAATATATATTTAAATTACTGATATAAATTTATATAAAAGACCGCATACAGGTAACAAAATATTGTGTATAGCCATAGAATAATAAAATATATTTGTATCTAGGGAAATCAGAGAAAATAGTTTGTCTAATTTATTATACATTCAGTAAAATCAGTGTCATCTCAGATCGATTCTATAATCCCCAGGCACAGCAATAATATTCTGATTACTCTGAATATACTCGAAAGAAACATTCCTAATCACTTAGAAATGTAGAAAGGAACGTTAAATGTCATTTGTCACATGCTATTCTACATCTCTTTTTAGTGAGCCTGGTTTATCTGTCACGTAACAAACGAACAACGGAAAAATCATGTGGTCGATCTTCTTCTTCTTAAGTGCCATCTCCACGGCGGAGGTCGGCAATCATCATAGCTATTCGGACTTTTGAGACAGCTGCTCTGAAAAGTTCATTTGATGTACATTTGATACACAGCTCGAATGATTCCAGTTTTTTCATTGATGTCGCATTGAAGGTCCAACATTCCAATCCATAAAACAAAGTCGAAAAAACATAGCACCCACCACCGCCAACCTAACGCGTCTAGCACGTTTCTTACAATGTAACCAATGAAAACTAATGATTAGAATGAATGACGTCACTGTCATTTTGGAGTGCGCTGAATCATTCGTTTTCATTGGTTACATTTTAAGAAACATGCTAGACGCGTGCTACTTGCCACTTGCTACGTGCCACGCCACTTTGGTGGGCGCTCTCACTAAGTGAGAGCGCCCACCAAAGTGGCGTGGCAGTGGCAAGTAGCAAGTAGCACGCGTCTAGCATTAATGTAACCAATGAAAACGAATGATTCAGTTTACACCAAAATGACGGTAACGTCATTCATTCTAATCATTCGTTAGATTTTATTATTAGATCGAATGACGTCATTGTCATTTTGGTGTGCGCTGAATCATTCGTTTTCATTGGTTACATTTTAAGTAACATGCTAGACGCGTGCTACTTGCTACGTGCCACGTGTCACGCCACTTTGGTGGGCGCTCTCACTAAGGGAGAGCGCCCACCAAAGTAGCGTGGCACGTGGCACGTAGCAAGTAGCACGCGTCTAGCATGTTACATAAAATATAACCAATGCAAACGAATTATTAGATCGAATGACGTCATTGTCATTTTGGTGTGCGCTGAATTATTCGTTTTCATTGGTTACATTTTAAGTAACATGCTAGACGCGTGCTACTTGCTACGTGCCATGTGCCACGCCACTTTGGTGGGCGCTCTCACTTACTCTTAGTTCAAATTTTAAATTCCGTGTACATAGCACTCTGCTCATTTTGGTGAAATTTGCTCTAGCCTTTTCTATTCTGATTTTGATTTCCTGAATGTAATTATTTGTGGAGTTAATCACTGTTCCCAGATATGCATATTTGTCCACTTGATCGACCGTTGATTCCGTTTAGTGGAAGATTCTCGTTATTTCTTTGAGTTTTCGATATTCTAATAAATTTCGTCTTCTTGTCGTTCATTGTTAGACCGTACTCTTTTGCATAGTCTGCTATTCTGGTTCACTCTCTAAAGATCTTTAATATTTTCGGCTAAGATCACAGTGTCGTCCGCATATCGAATGTTGTGAATGGGAACTCGATTTACCTTTATTCCAGCTATTTGACCCCCAAGAGATTTTTTTATCCTTTTCAAGAGCATTACTGTCTCACTGAACGTCTAATTTCAATTTATCTGACAGCTCTTCGTTAACACATACTTTTGCTCGCTGTTTATAGTGCGAGCTTGATGATCTTGATATCTAATGATGATCTAAATCTTAAAAATACAAAATAAAAAAAAATTACCTGCAAGATTACAGTATTGCCGACATTTCTCGTATATTTCTGAGTTTACAAAAAAATTGTGTACATATCAACAAGAAATATTTAAAAACTGTACTAGAATATTATTTTAATAGAAAAAAATAAACAACTAAAAGATGAAACATCCAAAAAACGAATTTTTTTCAAAAATGTGTCCACCAAACCGTTTATTATAAATTAATTTAATTTAAAATATAATTTCCCTTAGCTTTGTATGAAACTTATATTTTTTAAATAAAATCAGAACTCTTCAAGCTGCAACAAAAAATAATATATATCGATTCCCAAAATCAGTTTGTAGTTCGTGTAATATATGTGTTTGGTTACTTTAAAATATTTGTTTAGTATACTGTTTCCATTTACATTTCGAAAATACTAATCATCGAACCTGCTGAACCATAGACGTATTACAAGACCTATAAAAATGACGTAAAGGTTAGCTGATTCGATTGTTACTGTATCACCATTTAGATTTATGTTAAAAGTATCTTAGACAATATGTTTAATGGAAACGGTATTCACAAACCAAAATAATATGCGAGATTTTTTTTATGTTGTCTGCCATATAATTATAAAACAACAACAATAAAACAAAAGAGGTATAGTAGTGTCTCGTCCGCAAAATAAAACACCAAAAAGCAAAATCTCCTTTGTCCGAACGGGAGCTATAAGCAGTAAAAGCGTCCTCATAACTGAAGCATATTAAGCATTTTTTACAATACATCTAGAGGTAAATCGCTGAGAAATATCTTGTAGTTGCTTTATTCAGGCAAGATAAAATATGTTTTAAAGCGGAGTATAAAAAGGAAATATTTTTAAAAATCATCGCTCCGTGTCAAAGCCTTTATACATTTTTCTAGAATAGAATCGTCACTTCAAAGGCGAATATGAATATATGATATGTGGGTTTTCCATAATACGAAATATTTTATAACAGTGTATTTATTACGTTTTTTAAAAGAATAATGTTCACATTATTAAGTCACAAAGAAATATTTTTTTACACTTATAATGTGAATATAATGTCCAGACCAGATACGTTTAAAAAATTAAGGAGAAACGATCTACAATTTCTAATGCGAATCTTAATAATTCTAATTAATTTTTTTTGGAAAGGACATAAGTTTTATAATGAGCACGCAACAAGAAATCCTACGCCCACTTAGACAACGACGTCATCAAGCAGTTACCGAATTTGTATGCTGGGTTACTCCTAACACGAAAATAAACTAGCGAGAGAAACAGTAGAATTTACATAGCCAACAGGTACTATTTTTGGCACAATCTCTTTCTTAAATCCTTAAGTATATCGAGAAATACAAAGGTAAAACTCTACTATAAAACAATAATACGCCTAGTCCTAATGTATGATTTAGAGACCTGGACTCTAACAAAAAGTAATGAAACTATGTTAGGATGTTTCGAAAGAAAAGTACTAAGTATGACAATAAGTGTGAAGATGACGATACAACTTCAGATTTTATAGAATATATTAGGAACTAGATATCGTAAAGTTTATTGAGATAGGACATCTAAGGTTGGTAGAGCATGTAATGCGGATCGAACAAACTCACTGAGCTAGAAAAACGCTCCCAGATAGACCCATTGGTCAAAGAATTCATTCAGACAGTTAAGGAAATACTGCTTGTTCTGTACTTTTTCATTGACACATGAGTTATCTTCTGTGTAACTGCATATTTTTAAGTTCTTGTTACACTGCGTTATACACGTAGAGCTCTTTAGGTAAAATAACCTGCTGACAGCTCTTCCCCAGAGTCCGAGGAGTTAACTGGTGAGTTATCCGTCCACACTTCTTCCATTGAACCTTACCAATGTTTTAACTGGCTTTGTTTAATTCATAAAACTATTGCTGGACGGAAACCTTGATGTATATGTCTATGCTGCTTTAGGGAAACAAAACGCTATGTTTTACTGACCTTGCGAAGTATGATATTTCTCGAGGATGCTTTTGATTTTATTGACAATTCATTTTAATCGTGATAGTAACAAATATCACAAACAATTAAAACAATCGAAAATATCTACCAAAACAACACAATAAAAGTAAAAGTGGAAGAAGTACTAACTGACCCTATTAAAACTGAGATTCCCTGAGTCCTCTATTGTTCAACCTGATTATGGATGAAATAATAAAAAAAGAAAGAACTAAAAAAGGATACCAAATAGGAGAAAACAACTTAAAATAATCTGCTATGCAGATGACGCAATATTACTCTCTGAAAGTGAAGATGATTTACAACGTATGCTACACCAATTTGGTATAACTGCCAGAAAATTTAACATGTTAATTTCAACAAAAAACAAACATGTATGGTTACAATAGCAAATTTCCCAAGATGTAAATTCGAGCTGGAAGGTCAAATAATAGAACAAGTGATGGAGTTTAAATATCTGGGCATCACATTATCTAGCTACGGAAGGCTGAAAACTGCAGTGAAAGACCAACTGAATAGAGCAAAAATTAATGGCAAGACACTATGGGACAGAGATAGAATGGGAACGATCCTATAAGCAGAATGACAACAAATAGAGTAGTAAAGACGGCAAAAAACGGTTCCCCTGTAGAAACACGATGAGTAGGAAGACCACGAAAACGATGGAACGACAACTTACTGGAGGCACATTAAAAAAGAGACAGAGTAATGTCTACATAAAATGAAGAAGATGCAGTCAAGCGAAAAAAGTCCAATAAAAACAAATCAAGGACTAAAACAAATAGGAAAAATCACACACCGTGGTTCCCTGACGAAATAAAATTAAAATAGCAAGAAAAAAAATAATTTTATATTTTAATCATCATACAAAGT